AAAATCCTGATTAAAATTTCTCCAAACAGAACCTTAGTACAAATCGTTCTCATCATTTACACTCGTTAAACTAATTAGTCATGTACATGTATATAATGGTTGACAATAAATTTAACATTTTTTTTATGTGACAGCAATATACACCATTGAATTTAAACACATCAATTCCATCACTGCACGGATTCCTTCCACCTAGAGGGATGTCGTCCTTGGTGTCAACTAGAGATGTACATCTAACTTAATTCTTATACAAATTATCTTTATCGTTTCAAATTTAGCATTTGTATACTCATTTTAACTTTTTTCTTATAGAGTTGGTCATTTCTCATCTAATTGCGTCAATTCTTTCTTTCAAATATGGGCAATTGATGCAAAATATTCATATCGTTTCTCTTCACTGTGCAAATCGTCTCTATCATTTCAATTTTAATATTTGGACCCTCTTATTGATTTTTGTTTGTGCAAAAAGTCTTTATCGTCTATTTTCTCCCTTAAAACATTGTAAAATAACAAATTTTATCATGTTCTTTAAATAAACAATCGAAAAGAAAGAAAGAATACAAAAATAATAATAATAATTGCAGCTAGAGCTCCAACTTTTCAACAAAAGTACAAACGAATCTCATGTTATATAATTTAAAACATACTAGCAATAGAAATTATTTCATCTTCACAGTTAACCCCATTTACCCTTACCCACAACCACCAAAAAAATTAAAAGGAGAATTAAAAGTATAAAAAAGGTAAGAAAATAATTAAAAATAGAAAGAAACCAAAAATACAAAATGGTTCTTCTTCCCCATCCAATTCCGCATCATGCCACCAATTGTTGCCACTACCACCATCCAATCTCTCCATCCCACTTCAACATCACTCTGGGATTTAACTATTTTCATGTAATATGGTTTTGTGTTCTAATAACTTTCTTTTTTCAACTAAGTTACAAAAATTTAAATTCTTGTTGCTGATCACACACACAAACATATAATATATCCACTACATCAGCTTTTGGATTTTGCTATGATTTTGTTCAAATTTCTTTTATCTCACAAAATGATATTTGAAGATAGATTTTTTTATTCTATAGGAGGACTCGTTCAAGATCTCAATCCAAAGACTAGTCATAGCAGTTCAAGTTTCTT